CCCAGATTTAAAAACAAACAAAATAAACAGGCAAGAAAGAAAGACGGAGCTCTGCAAATGAATTTATCTATTGCTCTTCACCCCCTCAAAGAACTTAGAAGTTACAGGCTTTGTTGATTCTCCATTTATTTTGAGAAATATAAAATATGAAAACTAGTTTACAGTTCTGGCACAAAAATGATGAAGCAATAAGCACAAAGTTTCTTTTTACAAACAATGCTATATATTTTTACCATTTAAAAGTGCCTAGAGTTTTTCACAGCAAATAAAGTTTAATTACTTATATCTTTTTTCTTAGTAAAATATTAAATCTATTTAAATTGCACATGAACACCTCAGTGAAGTAAACTATATGTAACGTTACAATAAATCTGTATTTAAAGCGGACAGTCATTAGAAACTACATGGAATGGAAAAGACTATCAAAGCCTAAATCGAATCTTAAAGATTGATCAAGAAAACAAGAGACAAGACACTGACTGATATGGCACAAGTGATTAAATTATTGAAAATTTGACAAAAAGTAATAAAGCCTATTTGAAGTTCTTCACGGATCTAATACACTGCTAAAACATTTCAATGCAGAGGTTTTGTAACATTTAAACTGGCAAAACAGTTTTTTGGCTGCTAAACATTTGTCCACAAGATTACAAGGCATCTCCTTCACTTAATATGGGACCTTAAAATGAGTACATTGGTAGATAGAGAATGTGCGTAAGAAAAGAAAATTTACACCAAAGGTTGCTGTAGTTGACAATTTACTATGTTTTGACAATAAAACAGCTGAAAAGCTTATCAGTTAAAATTAACTGCATTAACTTGCAACAGCAGAAGCTAGAACATTTAAAGAGATTATTCATGACTTGTTCCTTCAAAAAACTTGCCTTGTTCCAATTTCCACAATTGCTGAGAGGTTCAACCTACAGTTTTACTGTCAATACAACCACTTACACTATGCAAAATTAGGTGTGAACTGAAGTTGCTATAGATCAGGGCCATAACTTTCACCCGGTATTCTTATTCCTCCTTCACAGACACTTGCACTGAATTGTATCAGTCATTATTTGGAGGACTCTTCAGTCAAGAAAGAGTGATTAGTGATCTAAGATGTCCAACCTGAAATATTTTAAAGAGGCCCAGCTGCCATAGTGTCTTGTGTGTGCTCTGACCTTCTGGATTATGTTTCTTAAATGCAAACCCTTTAACATCCAAGTTGAAGATTCAAAAACTCAAGTATCCAAAGTCTTACTGGTTTTAAAGTCCTGACCTTCAAGCTTGTGTTGATGTCAAGTCATTTACATAAGCATTTCTTTCAAACTACAGCACAAACGATTCACCCATTTTGGCATCTTTTGCAGGTGTCAAAGGAGTATTTGATTTGCATCAAAATAAGAATTAACATAGATAATAGGGTCCAAATAGCATTGTTATGCTGCTTTAAGAAACATAGCAATATTGACAATGGATGCATGATAAATGTTCCATTATGTCATTCACAGTAAGCAGCACAGGAAACACATATGCACACTAGATTTCTTTGCACTGAAGCCCAGCTGTTTAAAAATGCAGGAATACACTCTATTCTCAAAATTAATATTGTATTATAGGCATGCACAACTTCATATATCTAAACAAAATCAGGAGGCAGGACCTAAACATAGGCTTTGTGAAGAATTCTACAATGCCTCAAGGTTTGCAATCTAATGAAAGTCTAACCACTTAAAATGAGAGTGCCAATGTGACCCTCCCCTAAAAAAGTATATGCAAACCAAAGCAAGTTTAGTCTATGTCAACAAAATTTGAAAAGTGCTCAACCAAATTCAGAGAGGAAAAATAAACAGCCTCAATAAATATCTTCAAAGTTTTCCAGTTAACCACCTCTTATTTTTCATCTCAGTTTAATTGAATACCTCTTCTTAAATAGATGTAGAGAATATCTTAACAAAAGCAATCAATTTTGCCTATTTTGTTGTTAAATACTACTTTCAAGGAAGTGAAAGTGCCCAGTTTTACGAGTAATTTTAGACTCAGATTACTAACTGAAAATGGAAAATATGACATTGAAAACACAGCAGTGCTAATGAATACAAAATATGCAGCTTTTGGAAAAAAAAAAAAAAGCAGCTCACAAGGCACTTGCTATAGTGGTCCATTAAATAAACAGTATACATAGTGCACCCTTAAAACATCATTGTTATGCATCAAGCTTTTTCAGTGTTAAACTTCAGATTCATTAGAAACAACCACTGGGGTTCTGTGTATTCTGAAACAGTTATTGAGCAGCCTTGTTTCATATAATGTAAATGAAACACACTGGAAGTGGGGCGTAGAAGGAGAGTATTTTAAATCATTTCTTGTCATGTGAAAGTTTTTCCGCGTAGTATAAAATTAAGTGTGGAATGCCATTCTGACACACATCACTCCCTCTCCCAACCCCCTGCC